CCCCAAAACCCCAAAACCCCAAAACCCCAAAACCCCTTTTTAGACCAGAAATTTTGAAATCACAAATTAGGACAAAATAGTTAATTTTTAGAGATCTTTTCCGCCTTGCCTTACCTGCTGATCTTCGAATATGCTCATGAAGTTGTCTGAGTTGAGGAAAGACCTCTTCTCTGAAGACATTCAATCATCTTCAGAGACTAAGTATTCTTGATATCTTGATCTCCTGGAATTCTCTAAATGCTCTACTGGCTCTAGATATGGAGCTAAGTTGTTCTTTGACACGGTTTTACAGAACTTCTCTACTTCTTCTTCATCATTTGGGTTTAACAGCTTCTCAACATTCTTTAAAGGTGAGTTTTCTCCCTCCATGAGCTTCAAGTATTTATCTCAGGCTTCTCTAGCTTTAGAGATTATGTCAAAACTCTCCTTCTTGAGAGCATTCTTCTTTAAATTGGATTGAGAACCATCAATCTCTGTAAGCCCCGGGTTTTCACTGAGAGTGTTGAACACTTTCTGCATCACCTTTGGGCTATTACTCATCTTATTTAGGTTTCTCTATCCCCTCTTGGTTGGAAGATTTAGACTCTTTCTTATCATTATTTTTATTTAAAAGAATCTAGCATGTTTTTCTCACTTGAAATTTCGGAATCTTCTTGTTTATTCCATTTAGAAAATTCACTTGTCTGTATACTAGAAGTTGGGGTGATTTCTCGATTTGGATTCCATGATTGTCTAACATGAAGAATTCTATTATTATTTCCGTATTCAGTAAGATCTTCACCAACTGCGCCTCTTCTTCTGCTGATATAAAATTCCTCATCGGCTTGGTTGTAGCCAAAAGCCTTAAATAGCTGTTGTCTAATATCAAAATTTTCGTTAGTTACTTCATTTGCCAACTTAGCGCAATAATCAATTTTCTCTTCAAAGGAAATTCTCTGTACATCTTTGTTCTCTTCAGCTGATTCATTACAACTCATCGGGGCTCACATATCAGACTCTTTACTGAAGTTTCTATTGAAGTTCGATTGAGGTGCCTTCTTTGGACAGTTAGTTTTCTTACTGAATATTTCTGGATGTATTCCTTCCTTACTTCTTAGTGAGTCATAGATAAACTGTCTTACTGGTGAATCCTTCACGCTATTCAAGTCAGCATCGATGCTCAAGTCAGGTTTATCAGGGTTATTCTGGCACTCCAAAAATTTTCTGGGGCTAACTTTAGTTGATAAGCTCACTCCTGAGGATTCCTTGAGCTTATTGTTTACCATATTTGCTGGAGAGGAATTAAATTTCTCATTATTTACACTAGATTGCTCTTTTAATATTGTTGACTGGAAAGTACTCTTATCCATATCCTTGAGATCAATGGTCACATATTGTGTCTCAAAATTTCTCATACTTTGGTTAACTGCATTCCGAGAATTTCCTTTACTCCTTGACTGTGTCCTTTTGAACTTTGATAGTCTCTCTTGCTTCTTTGAGCTCAAGAATTTAGGCTTTGAAGTTCTAGTACTATGACATGGGTAAAAGTTACCAGTTTCTTGGTCTGTCAGTATGTAACTTTTGCTTGAAAGCATTTTTATTCAAAATAATCTTGTTCTTCTTCGTAATTTTTTTTATCTTAATTAACCTTCTTCTCTTCTACAACTGTTGGTGTTTCGATCGGAATTTGAGGAGCATTGATGCTTTTGTGTCAATATTTCCAAACTTCATCAATTACGATGTTGAATATAATCTTGAGGCTATCTCTAATGTCAAGAAACTCTTCAAGAACCTCCTTTCTTTGGTAGCTAGACATCTTTAGAGACATACTGAGTCTAGAGTCAACGCTCTTGAAGTCATCTATTTTGAGATTATTATCAAAGAAGTTTGTAAGAAGTAAAAACATACCACCAGTAAGATTACTGCTTTTGCTTAATCTGTTATTGGCCTCTCTATTCTTGGAAAATCACCGATGTGAGAATTCGTTGCTTTGGCTCACTTTAGAGCTTTGTTCCTCCAAGACACCTTTTTGTTCCTTTCAGTACTGGATCAAGTCATTGGTGAGATTACATATTGTCGATTCTAGTCCATGGGTCACTGTAGAAAGGATCAGAACCTCTGAAATTTAGATTGGAAAGTAGAAAAATATTATGAATGCTTTCGAGTCTTGCTTCACGAGTTGTGCTTTTAGAACCTTCATTTTAGGGAACAGAAAGAAAGTTTTAGACTGGAGGGGAAACAGGTTATGATATCATATTTTTTGCTTTCGCTTTTGAAACATTATAAGCCTTAAGCAATTTTGCGAATATATTTGGAAAATTTTTCAGTTATTTAGCTTTCACAAAAAGTCAAATTTTATACAGAAATCTTTATTGATTTGATCAATCTTAATTTCAATCAAATTCAGTACTTTTACTGGCTAGCCATTTTTGAAACCTAACACAGTACTTCAAAACATTAATTGTACTTAACATTTTATCAAAATCCAAAAACCATAAGCATCAAAACACAACGCCAAACTCAAAAACTAATTATTTGACTACTAGCATATCTCCAAGCCTTCGAAATCTCCCCTCCATTGCCTCAAAATCCAAAATTCCATTTTCCATTCCTACCACCCTCATTTATCTCAAAAATCTCTCTACAATAACTTACTTATAGATAACCCCTTATTCGTCTTCTGTAATGAAAACCTCTTCATCCTACATAAGAACTGAGCAAATAGAGGTCCCTTCGTATTCTGACTACCAGAGAAGACATCTCCCTCATTTTTAGGAGCAAACTGCTTAGCTTGGTACCCTCGTTCACAACTCTTGGCTGCCATCTTTACAAATTAGTTCTATTTTAACAGTATTAAAAGGGGTTTTGGGGTTTTGGGGTTTTGGGGTTTTGGGG